TTACTGCGACGATATAAAATATCACAAAAGGAATACATAGTTTGATCATCGGAGTAGATCTCTTAAAGATAGAGATAATTACGTATTTAGTCAATTACGAATGTAACCAATTAATTTTTGGAATAATTCTTATGGAGTATCTATACATTGGAAAAAGTATTCTGAATTTTATGTAATTATATTCATTAATTTAATAAAAAAATATTTGTTTTAAAGTTTTCTGCTTTTTTACATATTCCTGTTGAACTACTTATCAAGCATAAAATTCAACATATATTTAAAAAATGACAAGTAGATAGCATTTCAGCTTCCGGTAAAATACTTAGTAGTAGTAAAAGCTTACAGTTTTTATTTTATATACATATTTTATTATTCTAATACACGTAATATTTGTTTATAAAAAATTTTAAAAATTAAATATGTTCATTATTTAATTGATAGTTCTTTAAAAGTACAAGTTTTGTATTTTTTTAATTGAATATATAATTTCATGAATATACAAATGAAAACAATATAAATTTTTAATAAATTCAAGGAAAATTTATTGAAACAAGTTTAATCGATCAAATAAAATATAAATATCAATTAATGAACACCGTACCTAAATACACACCTTATAAAAAAGAACAAACTATTGATATCTAATCACAAATTGAAGTATGAAAAAAATGTTTCACACAAATTAAAAAAATTGGGATTTAAAACGTAATACATAGTTAGATAATATAACAGGATATATTTTCCTCTTTATATTATTAATTATGATAAAAATAAAGCTTCTTAAGTTTCTCTTGAAGTTGTATGAAGAAAATATATTGAAACAAGTAACTCATAAAATATGCGCAATTGTGAAGTATCCATTTTTAATTTTTTATCTTGTTGAATTTCTATTCAAATAAAATTACTATTTGTAACTATTTATAGAATTGCTTACAAGTTTTATACAAGCTACTTATCAAATGAACATTATTATATATTAACTGATAATTTATAACATACACGAAGACAATTCTGCTACAAATTATTAAAGCTGACAAATCATAAAGATTAATTGTTATAAAAGTAGCAATTTAAAGAATTGTAAAATAGGTGGACAAAATTCAATGGACTGTTCAAATTTTTTTTATAAGCATTAATGGTCATGGCTTTCTATATTTGTCATAATATAAATCGTAAAAAATATATTTTGACAAGCAATATTTCTTTTAATATCATAAATATTCATATTACATAAGTTTCAAACGTGTAAGAAAATGGCTAATAAATACAAGAAAGCTATGTAACTGTGTTTAATTTACCATAAAAAAATTCCATAAATAATTTCATTTTGCATCTTTTGGTGAAAATTAAACATAGTATAATTTTCTCACTTTTATATTTTTCTTTTACATAAACATTTCCAATATGTTATTAAACTTTAATTTTCATTTTTAATACATTTTATCAACAATTAAAATTTTTAACAAATTTAAACAAAATTTAATTTAATTAACGTTTAGAAGAGTAATGAAATTTTTAAAATAAAATTGACTTTTGATATATCGTTTAAAAATATTCTTTTTATTGTATTTATAAAAAAAAATTCAATCAAGTAGTTATAAATTAGTATAATTTTGTATTGTAAAATGAAATGAATTCATTTTTTAATTTCTTTTGTCAATACAATAAAACTTATTTATCAGTAATAAAAATATGTTTGAAAATGTATTCTATATTTTTTTTAAACGTTTTTCATCCTAAATGTAATGTAGAATAGTCCATAACATAGAAAATCCATATAAACGATTTTCCGGTATATCTCACTTTTAATTATGGTCACAGATTAAAATTTCTAATTAATTTTTGTTTACTTAAAAATATTTATACAAGTACTATGTGTAGAAATGTAAAAATTATATTTATAAACTGGACATTTTTTAAGAATATTATTGATAAATTTACCTTAAATTCAATGTAAAAGAAAAAGCATTATTTAACCAGAAAATACTTTACATTTTGAAAAAATAATTTTAAGAAAAATATTTTTAAAGTTTATAATTTTTATTAGAAATATGTATCATCCATAATAATTGATACTACTATGTTATATAAACGTTAGGCATTTTTTTTTTACTAAGTTTAATAATCTATATTTCATTATAACCGTCTTAATACTTGGTGTTTAGTAATTATGCTTTTAATTATAAAGTAATCAATGAATTTATTTATAAATTTTAATTTTAAGTATAATATTTAAACGTCTATATAAGACAAATTACTTAGATATTTATAATGAACATGTATAATACCATATAATATTAATTTTCTAAAACATAAAAGAAATTTTTTTAATTTTGGTATCTGGTCTTATTGTAATTTGATATTGAAATTTTAGAAAAACCTCCGAGTATGTAGAATATGTTCTTGAAATTATTTTAAAATATTAGCGTAATATATTTAATTTGGATTGATAATTTTATCTTTTCATTTACAGTATGTGCATTTTTGTCTAAATTGACAATTTGAAATTTATTTGTTGTATGCTGTAGTAGTTTATATGGACTACGTTAAGTAGATTTATCCTTAACATATAATACGTAATTTATTTATATGAGTTTCATTTATTCATTAATTCCAGATGATTCGCAATTTGGTTTTATAGAAAAAATAATTTTATATCAAAATATTATTTAAAATTATAATAAAAACTTGATAATTTGCAATTACCAAAAATTTGGTAGTTTTAATTTCTATTATTCAGAGGGCTTTCAAAAATTAATCTACAAAAAAATGAATCTAAAAACTAAAAACTTAATTTTATATATTCTATATATTTGTGTTCGTGATTCAGAAAATTTCTCGAATGTTATGATTTGGGGAAAAATCGCAACTGTTATCATTTCGAGGAAATAATTCAACGGATGTAAGTTCTAAGAAAATTGTCCAACGGTCGTTGGGGATTCGGAAAAACTCCGAAATTATTGCACAGTCGCGACTATTATTTCTCGCACCACAGTCGAACCCATTCTTCATTCAGCTAACATCGCAGCCGCATAGATATTAAAGGCAAACGCAACATGAGATAATCACTAGTCAGTCATGATCCAGTCAGCCAAAAATCATTCACCAGGAAGCAGTCGCAAGCCTTTCCAATACTAGTGCAGCCATTGCACACACTCTCAGCAGAGCCACTAAGGAAGGTACACTGCACAGCATCATACTGTGCAGGTCTCTCTCATACTAGGTCTAACTACGGAAGGCCATTCTTCTACTAGGTGCAGTTATCACACTAAGCAGAGACGCTACGGAAGGCCCTCTTCATCCTTCCACACTACAATACAGCTTGTAGGAGACCAGCAATCAAGTTACCATGTGTCATTAAACGAAGAAGTGTCAAGAAACTTACGACCTCTCGCTCTCAGTGTAGTATTTCACCACCAAGTGTACTGCATCAAGAGGATCCAGGCTAACGACCTCCAATCTCTACATGTTGACACCACGTGGCAACAACCAAGAAATGACCGATTTTCATCGTCAATGTAGAATCATATGTAGTTGTAATATAAACGAAACACCAAACGCTGGAAAACAAACGTCAAATACTGATTTCAAACGCTACCCCCTCTATTTGCCCGCACTTTTTCTCCCACCATTCCAATCGGTGGTCTTAGTCTAATACTAAACAATTTGAAAAAATTAACTATGTCTAAGACTAGTATTATTAATAAATGGTTTTAAAATAGTCAATATGTACTTAATAACTTATATTTACTTTTTTCTCATAATCATGTTAAACATATTTCAATATCTCTAAACATCGATATTTGATTAAATATAGATTTATACAATTTAAATAAATTGAGATTAAAATGTTTATATGCAACATCTATATATAAATCTTAAATAGGATAAGTATAAGGAACAAACTATTAAGTTTATAATATAATTAATTTAATACAATAAATAAATTATTATAAACTAATCAATTTCTATAAAAGGAAAAGAAAATTTTCTGAAATGATTTTTTAAATTTTGATATAAATGAAACATGTTTAATTTAACTATTCACAAAATTTGTTGACCATATATAAGAAACAAAAAGGGAGAGGAAAATTTTTATTATTTATTAGGTGATAGATTTATTAACTATCAATATATATTTGAGCAAATTATAAACATATAAGCGAATACTATTATGCTAGTTTTTTTTATATCTAATTATTATTTTACAAACGTCAGAATCCCTAAACTTTAATAGATGTTATTATAACAATTTCATAAAATAGCATCCAGACATGTCAATCAAGGTGCACGTTATATATTATTTCAGATATGTTTAACATAGAGTAGACGAAATGCAATATTTAACATAAATTATTTTGTTAATATTTTATATTTTATAAAATATTTTTATAAAGTTATTTTATAAAATAATTAGATTATAGTTTAAAGTAACCTATTTTTACATAATATAATTTTGTTATTTTTAAACGATTTGTTACTATTCGAAGATAAATCATTTTAACCCTCATATAAAATTCAATTATGTATTTATATATTAAAAATTTTAATAACATCTATCATATATAATACAACGAAACAGTTATATTAATTTTTGCAACTCACTATTTGTACAATTTGATTAAAATACAATTACTAAAAATTATTTTTAAGATGAAAGCAAAGTTTTTTTTTTTGAGGCATAAGATTTTTTTTAACCACAAATCTATTTTTAAATTAAATATATATTGGAAATTTGAAATCTATTTTAAATTTATTTATTTATTTTGAATTATTGTTTAAAATTACAATTCTAAAACTGTTATTTTTGAAAAATATAATTTAACAAACAGTTGCGCGATAAAAAAATTGTTTATTAAAAACTACAATCGTCAAATTAAAATTATATATGTATATATATATATACACACATATTTTATATATATTTTATTATTTATTGTTTTTGTAATTGTATCTAAAATAGAATAATATAATGCAGTCTTAATATATTTGTAATAATCACTATATCAAATGTAGAAAAATATGTCTTCTTTAAATAGAAACCAAATAAAAATATGATGTTAAAAGACATAAAATGTCACTGCTATGTTTTAAATTATTATTGATAACTTAATTATTTTTATTAATGTGTTTCTTCTAAATAATCAGCTGCAGTATTAATAACTTGTTCTTCATCCACTGAAAAATTTAGATGTCTTAAGCGACATTGGCATTTTTTTATCAGTTGTGGTATTACAATATTATTATAACAGGACATTCCAATAAAAATGATGAAAAATCCGATAAGCTATGGTAAAAATATTTAAAATAAGTTAAATAGTTTATTTAATAATAGATAGATGTTTGAAAATTTTGCATTACAAGATATACTTTTTTTAGAATAATACACATAATCATATTACTTTATTAGTTATATTGAAAACGTAAAACTGAAAACATAAATAAATACAAATAAAGTATATATTTCCTATTATTAAAAAAGCAATTTAGAGGCATTAATAAGATTTTATTTTCAGAGTTCTAAAATCATTATTTATTTTTTAAGGTATTTTATCATATTATTAAATGTAAAAGTAAAAAATATAATTATATATAATAAGAACTTTAAAGTTTTAACTATTAATTATTAATTACAATAACTTGCCTGTAAATAATGAAAAGTTTGCCATTGTAAAGTTAAGGAAAAAATCCAAATTACTATTGTTCTGATACTATCAAGGATCATCCTAGTTGTTGCATTTAACTCTTTTGTAACACTAATGCCAGCAAAATTGAAGAATGCAATACTGAATATTATACCTATAAAAAATAAAATTATGAAATATTTTTACTTCTTTATATTTATAAAAGTTTGAGTGTCATTACCAATTATAGCCATTAATAAACGATCACAATTAGCTATTTGAATGAATGCATCGATTGTAGCTTCAAGTGTACCTCTTGAGTTATCAGCAAAAGGTGGTATAACATAAATAAAATTCAATGGAATCATAATTAAGCAAATTCCAATGAATCCATAAACACCTTCCCATCCAACTACTTGAAGTGCTGGAATATCTTGTCCAGTCGTATATTTTTCTTCCACTACCATTTGCACTGCTGTTATAATCTGAAAATATTATAAATCAATAACATTTATTTTAACAATACTTTATATGAAATGGCTTTAAATACACATATAAACTTATTGAAAAAAAATTTTAATTTCCTTTTTCATTTTTCATTACTTATTAATTTTTTAAAAATATAAAAATTTAATTAATTTTACATATTACTTAGCAAATATAAAATATTAATTATGAAAACTCTGGATTTTATAAATTTTAATTAATAATATTAAATTACTTGAGCTGATATGATTAGTAAATCTCCAGTTAATACAGAATTTGTATTTACTTTCTGATTTTGCATTGTAATAAAATCACTAAGTCCAACTAATAATAACCCAAAAATAACAAAAGTAATTCCTAGCCATTCTCTTCTATTTAATTTTTTATTTAAAAATCCTACTGACAATATTCCTGTAAAAACTATTACTGCTCCACGTAACATTTGAAAGCTACTGGCATATGTCATATTTAAGCCAATATAATTTATTGAAGTGGCTACCACATCACAAGCTGCTGGAATAATTAGTACAAGTGGGTTAAATGTTCGAGATCCTTTTGTTAAATTACTTCTATCCTCATAACCATTCTAAAACAATTTTTTGTTAAAATAATTTTATTGAAATATATTGAATTTAACTATATACCAAATTATTTTTTACCCTTAATCGAGTATAATAACAGAAGATTATTTTGAACACTAGTAAGCATATCATTTCTCCGATAAACATGAACAAAGATTGCATGTATGGATGATTAAAATGTCTAAGTTGACCATCCTGACCAGGTACTATTTGTTGATCAGCATATCTAAAATATAATACCATATTATATTACAACACATTATATTTTAAATCGCTTTAAACAATTTAAGTACATACTTTACACAAAGGGTATTAAATGAGCCAGTAATTATCATTATCATAGCAAGAGCTCTTTGATAATATGTCCATGCCATTTTATTTCAAATTATAACAGGTAAATTAAAATATTCTGAAATTATAAAATTTTTTCAAAATTTTGTCTGTCTAAGAAATGATAAATTTTAAAATACATTTTTCATGTCAAATAAAATTACCCTTAACAATTAAAGTAAATAATATTTACCTTTTTATAAAAAGACTTCAAATTAACTTGAAAGTTAATACAGATACAATTACATTAACAATATTGTTTATAGAAATTACATTATAAATAAATTATTTTCTCAAGTGCTCTTAATCGGTGCATTTATACAGATAAATGAAGTTATATTTAAACCAGAATTAAAAGAAGAACAGGGAAAAGCTAGAACTACACACCTAAAATGTCATATTTTGTACGCTGGATATATCTGTTATATTATTATAATATTCACTATATTTTTAAATATTTAATAAAGTAATAACCTGTCGACTTTTATGTGTTCTATTAAATAATTTATCATACGCTGAAAACTTGATAAAACATTATAAAAATCACTAAGTAAATAAAATTCTGAATATCCAGTGTCAACTAAGAAAAAGCTGTTACTAGTGTATATTACCCATGTAATATAAATATGTTTATTGCCTGGACAGTGTTAAATCCTTATTACACCTTGTTATATACTATCCATATTTTATTAAAATTATTATATTATCAATTTTGTTCTATTTAAATTTATAAAGTAGTTATTGTATTGTATAATAACAGTAAATAGAATGTATTTATGATAATGAACAGTTAATATTTTATAATATTAAAAATAAATAGAAATAATAATTTCAAAACAAAAATTTGCTATTAATTATATATTTACATGGTATTTCTTGTCGAAATTTAATGCAAATAAATAAACACATTAAGTTTCCTTAAGTTTGAAATAATTTTCAGACAAACGCAATATAATTCAAATGCAACTTTATATATCCAAATGATTTATAAATTGATTGAATTTATTAAGTTTTCAAGAAATCTACTTTTATTACATATTTATTTATCTATTTTTTGATAAAAATACTTGCATTTAATAAAGTATGTATTTATAAACAATTTTTTCATATATATTTCATGTTGCAAGTAATAAAATTTATTTTGATAAAAATCTAGCTATCTTCATTTAATATAATTAAAAATTGCACTTGAAAAAAATAAAGATTTAAATATGACAAAATACCTTTGAAATAAAATTGCTAAATAGAAATTATTATTAATTTAATAACAGTTTTACGCTGGATTTAGCTAGTTTTTGAGTTTCTTTTTAAATAATTCTCTTTATCTAATATCGATAAAAATTAAGTAAGTTAATCATTTTTTAATTTAGAAACAAAAATTTGGTCTTGTTAGCAAATGAAAAATTGAAGTGATAATGTACTTTTGCGAATATTATTTTTATTTATAATTCATTAATTAAAACTAAGATTAAACTTTATATAGTAAAAGTAGGAATAAAGGTTTTAAACAAATCTTTTAATATATCAACATTTATTAAAACAAAAATTAATTAGATTCTTTATCTGAATTTTGTTGTCAATCATATAATTAAAGAATCAATTATTAATCATATTAGACTGATAAGTATATAATTCGTAGTTTATTAAAGACTTCATTTTATTCCTCTTAAAAGTTAAATACACGAAAAACTTAAAATGGAATTATTATTTCTGTATAAAATTATTTAAGCACATAAATCTTATTAAGAAATAATTTGTAAAAAAAATTTACGATATTATATATAAATTCTCATTAGAGTTGCAAATCAAATAAAAAATAACTAAATGTAGTATTCAATATAAATATAGTTCGAACCTATTGATAGAATGAAATAAAATGTAATCGTAATAATTGTAATTAATTATATTAAATTATTAAATTAATAATTTACGCCTATCATTGTACAGAATTGAAAATAATATATTTATAGTCAAATTTTCAACTTGTTAAAAATTTTTAAATTTGTTAAATTGTTAAATACGATTTTAATACTAATTATAAATTTCCTTTCAGAGCAAGGAATCTGCTTAATATTTGATCAAATAAACAAGTATACTACAATGAAATCGTAAAGTAAATATAACACTAAAGTACTATGAAAAGTTCAATATTTAATATTATTTTAAATTTACGGAATTTAGTAGCTTATTTTGAAAATAAGACGGTTTTTATCAGCATATATATATATAATTATACAATAAAAGTTTAATTAATTAAAATTTGTTTTGTTTTCACATATCCAGCATAATCATTGAATCATGATGCATTCAAAATCACTTATGGTCTACATTATTTCCTGTGAATTTTTAATTATAACTATATCAAACTGTTAGCTTAGAAATTACCATCGTATCTTAAATTATAATTTCCAAATTTACTATAGTCTGCACTTGAATGATCCATTACATTTATTGTATGAATTACAATTTCAATATGGCAGCGTACATATACACTGATAAGAGAATAAACTATTAGTATATCATAAAAAATGATAATTAAAATATTCCTAATTGTTGCATAAAATAATGTGGAATATACTATAAAGATATAGTTTGATTATTTATCGTTTTAACGTAAATAATTAATACACTGATTAGTAATTGTAAAATTTCAGTGTTGCAAATAATAATTTAATTGTTAATAATTATATAATGAATCTATTAATACTGAAGCAGTATATTATAAATCAATAACACCAATTAAAGAAATTATTTAAAGGTATGATTTTAAAAATTAATTTCTATCTAGAAATAAATCGTTACACACGTTTATACATTACAACTTCGAAAAATTAATATTAAATATTTATATATAAATATTATGAAATTTTGTTATTAAATTGAATTGTTTCATAAATTTTAATTCAAGATGATTGAAAGTCCAGTATGTGATTTAAAAAGAGATGATACAGTTTATAAGACTGCAGGTGCCGCACATCTTAAAAAATATGGTCAATTTTTTGAGAATTTGGCAGAAAAATATTGGCAAGACTCTTCAGTTTTTGAATATGTAATTGAAGGACCTATTAGACTTATATATAAAGTTAATGAAGATATTAGTATATTGTCATTAGCTGAAACTGATAATAAAATATTTTCAAAATTGTTAGCTAGCATTGGTGGAACCTGCAGAGAGGTTAAATTTATTACTTTTATATTAAGATAAGATTTTATTTGATACTTAAATATATAATATATATTTCAGATAAGACTTTTAAAAGCTGAAGCTAGTAAATTTTATATTAAATTGTTTAATCATGGAGAACGTTGTGCTGATCACAAAGATCATAAAATTGAGAGTCTCCTTTCAGATCTACAAGATTTATCAATATATATCAATAGAATAATGACTGTTATTCATTTAACAGTAAAACAGTTATCAAATTTGGCAAATAATATTCATCAAGAAATTTATTTACCAGTACTTATTGATTACTTATTGGATTTATTTATTATTCTTGTTATATTGGATGCATTAATTAACAGTCAACCTGCATTAGTGGAAAAGTGGAATATCTATCGATTTAAAGTAAAATCAGTATATAATTCAGCTCAGTTTAATATTCCTCAGAAAAGATTATTAACATATGAAAAATTGTTAAAGGATTTGCATATTCAATTACTTTCCAAAAAACTATTTTTAAAGGCTATAGAATATATAATGGATATTAATAAGACTACAATAATGTGTGATCATATATTATGTTTTTTAAGAAATGTGATAACAGATGTAGAAAATAAAATTAATGATAATGCTACAATTAACAAAAGTTGGATGCAAGCAAATATTGGTATTGTTATTGTTATAAAACTATTTGGTGCATGTGATAAAAAATTATTGAAAAGAATTATAGAAACTAATAAGAAACTTTATGCTGTTAGTTTGCTTGGGAATATTGTTTGGTTACCAAATGATTTTTTGACAGATTGTTTACCAAGAGATGGAATAATTGCAATTCCTTTACAAGTAGGTGAGAAATTACTCGTTGCTAGAGTTCAAAGACTACCATCTATTGTAAGTAATTTAATTAACAGAGCTTTAATATGGGTCATTGAAATGCAAAATATTTTAATAAAAACAGGATTTCAAATATTTTCTGAAATTGAAAAGAAGAGAAATTTATTAGTTGAAATTTTAATATTAATGCGCCAAATTAAAGAAAATATTACATTTGTAACAAATCTTCATGCTTTTCTTTTGAAACCTATGAATCGAAGTACGGTTCAATTAATTTGTCAGCTAATTGAAGTACAAAAATCTTTAGAAACAACATTCCATACATTAGCACCAATCATTGTATTATCACAAAGTCAAGTATTACAGCAGCTAACATATCAGATTTTAACTATTTTGGAAACAGTGCGCAAGAGCTTGATACAAAAAGGTAAAGTTTATAGTAAAGAAAAATTAGATGTTCTGTCATTAGTTGGATCTAGCATGAAATTGATTAATGGACCAGCAACTGCAGATCGTCGTTTAATTCTCCGTTGTGCTCTTGTGTGTGCAAGTCAACTTACTGAAAGTTTTAAAGAGGAAGAAGTCGTTAAACTCAGATTTTATTTAGATACCTATGATACCATTGCTGAATTGTATAATCTTCTATTAGAGAGCTGTGACTACTCAGTTTTATTACATCAACAAAGTATACTTCCAGCATATTTATCTTTAGTTATAGACAATAATTCCAACATAAGTCATATTGTGCATTTATTTAATGCTTTTAATAGTGCAATAAGTAAACAAGAGTTATCTGATTTAATTGAATTTAAAATTTCAGAGCAAAGAAAAATTTTAATTAGAAATATATTTGAACCAGCTTGCAGTGAAATCGAAACCAATCTTAGATTGCATGTTCATGCTCATTTAAAATTAAATGATACTAATCCATTTAAAGTAGGGATTAAAGATGGAAACAGAATTATTCGATCTTGTCCATTGCTTATAAATGGTAAATTGCTTTATGTTAAACGTTATATTGAGCATTATCTTGATTACACATTTTATAATTTAACAACAATAGCATTACATGATTGGAAAACTTATAGAATAATGCATGCCTTGACAAATCACAAACTAGGTTTGGAAACAGTACAAAATCATTTACCCACGCAGATTTTAGAACAAGGTCTCGATGCTTTAGAAATTATGAGGAATATTCACATATTTGTTTCGAGATATCTTTATAATTTACATACACAAACATTTATTGAACATTTGAGTTCTAATAAACATTTAAATACCATTAGTATACGACATATAGCTAATTCTATTCGTACTCATGGCACTGGAATTATGAGTACTACAGTGAACTTTGTATATCAATTTCTACGAATCAAACTTCATACATTTTCGCAATTTCTCTTTGATGAACATATAAAGTCACGCCTAATACGAGATGCTAGATTCATTAGATCACAGAAAGAAAAGGGAGCTATTCCATATAGTTATGAAAGAGCGGAAAAGTTTCAAAAAGGTATCAGAAGACTTGGAATGACATCTGATGGATTGAGCTATCTTGATCAATTCCGTCAGCTAATTACCCAAATTGGTAATGCCTTAGGATATATTAGACTAATACGTTCAGGAGGTTTACATGCCTCTTCCAATGCTATATCATTTTTACCTGACATAAATTCATCCACCAAATTTAATTCGACGTGTAAGAAATTGAATTTTTTAACAACTACTCAGATTGCTGCCAAACGTTTAGAAGATGATATTGCTAATTTAGTACGAAATTTTACTGAAGGCATACACTATTTTAAACTTCTTGTCGATGTTTTTGCATCTGCTTTTAGAGATAGTAATAATTGTTATCATTTACAACAATTTTATGCAATTATCCCTCCATTAACATTCAGCTTCATTGATAATATCTTATCTAATAAGGAAAAATTGTTTAAAAAAAATAAGAGTGGCGCTGCATTTACAGATGATGGTTTTGCTGTCGGAGTTGCTTACATAAATGCTTTATTAGATCAGAATAATGAATTAGACGGCTTACAATGGTTTAAAACGGTAAATGAATATTTTATCATTGAGAAATCTGCAGCTGAGAGCAAGGCAGAATATGAAGATGAGAAACTGCAGCAAACACGAGCATTAACATTAAAACGTCTTGAAGAAAGAAGAGCAGAATTTCAATTATTGTATTATAGCTTATCAGGCGCTAGAGTCTTTTTTAAACAACTAGATGAATAGCATTTATTTTTGTAATTCTTAATATTATTTAAATTATAAAAAAAATAGTAATATAGATTTAGATGATTAATTGCTTTTTTCAGATGGGAATAAATAAATAATGTATTTCAAAATTTATATTTTTTATTTAAAATGTAGAAAATATTTTTGATAAAATTTTTTATTATATATGGATAAAAATATTTAAAATATCCGTAAAAAAAGTTTATTTATTAATAAAACAAGTATTACAATTACTAATACCATGAAAATCATTAATCTTAAAAATTATTTAATATAAAAACAACATTAATGCTATCAAATTTACTTGTTTAACATTATACCATAAGGTGTAACATAACATTCCTAATTTAACTATAAATATTTGTAATATAAATATACCATTGTAATAATTGTATCAATTATTATGAATGTTTATCATCTGATATGTTACTGATTCTATTTATTGACTAGAAGTACTCTGTCAACTATTACAGATAACAGCATAAATACAGAAAATAATTTTCTTTTTTACTATATAACTTTGATTTTTCATGTAAATCAGTTAGAAATTTTAAAAACAACTATTAATCAGTAAGTAAATAAATTCAATTCCAAATTAAATTCCAATTAGTGTATAATATAAGCTATTATACTTATTAACAAATATCATGTTTAGAGATAATTTCTTGTAGCTTAAAAAATAGTTTGAGATTCACATCATTGTATGTGACAATTATATCAATTCATATCATTCTACTAAATTATATCTATTTTCATGTTATGATATTAGATACGAGTCCTAGATGATTCTTCAGAATTTAATAAATCATTGCAAGAAGTTGTTGGTGGCAATAATTGGCGTCCACTTCGCTTTCTACTTCTAGTAAAAACTTTTGTTAGTTGGGCAAATTTACGCCTGGATGCTAAAATATAACTATAATGTTATTTATATAACAAATAATAAAATCTATAATAATCAATTACATGAAAAAACAATAAATCTTAACCTTTGCCCATATTTCTTAGTCTTTCTCTGAATAAATCTTCTTCAGAAGCAGTTTCATATTTACTTTGTAATTTTGTATCTAAGTAATATTAAACAATTTATATATTTAGTACAGAATTTAAGTTAAATGTATCTTAAGAAAAACATTTATCATACCATTTTCTAGAGTTGATAAAAAATCTTCATTCCACCGAAGTTCAGCCATAAACTCTTCATTTTGTAAAAACATAGCAATCCTTTCATCCTCTAATAAACAAGTATCATGAATTAAATTGTAATCTAAATTATCTGTATCACCTTGATTAGAAATTCGTAAAAATGAATCAGGTAAAGGTCCGAGTAGAAGAGGCTGCCATTTTTTAATGCTACTACTTATATTAGTTTTTAATTTTTTTGTAATTTTTCCAAATTTTGGAGCTTCATTTTCTTCTATCTCACTCCGAATTTTTTCATTTTCATTATCAATACTCATTGACAAAAGCTGATCAATAGTTGTGTCAACAGCTCCCTGATTTGATCGTAAAACAGCCTTAAAGTAACATAAAATAACTATTATTAGTCTATATATTTATATACATTTAATATTATACTTAATCTTGATCAATGATAATCTTATTTTACTTCATCTTATGCCTATTTTATATGAAAGTGATTATAATATTTTTAATGATTAAAAATTAAAAATTTTGAAAAGTATTATTTAAATTGTAACTTACATTATATAAATACAAACTAAAAACAGGAATTATATTGAAACTTGAATACATCAGAAAGAGTTATTTTATTAAATATGTTAATAGATATAATTTTAATTTTGATACATTCCTATTTAACTGATTAATCAACTGATTATTTAATATCTAAATAAAACATTAACAATATTAAATTGTTACCATTATTTTATTACAAAATTCTTGTCCAATAATAATGATTACAAAAAAATTATTCTACATTAACAATATTTACATAAAAATTATTTGTACATTATCAATTTTTATATAAAACTTTTGTAAAAATTAAACTTTTTTAAAACTATTTTAAATTCTTTTGTAAAATTAATGGAAATAAAATAAGCCTACCTCGATGACATCGTCGTCCATCTGAGGAAACATATTCTTGAAGTCAGCCATGGCTTTATAAAATTCTAGTGTAGTCTGCTGCTGTTGCTGTTGCTGTTGCTGCTGTTCAGCTGCAGATGCCATAATTCTGATTTAGATCCTTATTCGTTTTCATATATTCATCATATATTTACTTAACGAGTCTATATTTAGTTGGTATTCTCAAACACTGAATTATAGTATATTTTATCAGTATTGCATCTAAATACGCTTGTATAAATAGTTGTCACAGTTTATTTTCATTGTACGAAGTACAAACTATGCGTGTCCTTATTCTCTTTTTTAGTTCATTTAATCGTACAATCTCTCGGATTTGCATAAGTGTACTAAAATAATAAGAATTAATGGACGTGAGACAGTGTACACGAAAATTTTGGTTAAGAACTTAGAATTTGTGATACAATATCTAATTCCAATATTAAATTATACGTCTTATTTCAAATAGAGAAGAAATTTATTTCTTGGCATTAATTTGATTTTGAACTGTTTATTAGATTAATCAGTAATTTTATATAATAATTACCCTTAAATACTGGAGTAAAAATTAATAACTTGAATATGAAGCCCGTCGTTTAGGAAGTGTACCAATTTGATAATTGTTATATTCATTACCATTTTTAATTATATTTCTCAAATTAGTAATATTATAATTGTTACATTAATAATAATTACTTAATTAAGTTTATCAATTTACATGCTCAAATCAACATATCAAGGATACGGTTACACCATACTTATTTTACTAACTTTAGAACCAAGATCTCAAATAGATTCGAGTTTTTGAAAACATGTGCGCATGAACACATGCATGGAATACATTAAAATATTTTAAAAAATATTAATGGTATTCGAACAATTAAAGTCGGTTAAATTAGAATTAATGAAACGTTAAGTAATAAAATAAATCAATAAAATAATTAAATATGTAAGATAAGTAGATGCAATTAAATAAATACTGATTATTTTTTATTATTGCCAATTTGTTAAATCTTGAATCAACTCAAATATTTATATTACATTATCATTATTTTTTAAATAGAATACTCAGTATGTTATAATAAATATTTTTAACAATACTTTGTTTTTTTTTATAAAAATTATAATTATAAATTAGATGTTAGTGAAATTCATTATTCTTTTATTAGACAACCTAAAATTATTTATCAATTTTATTGTGTTCATGATTTAACAAACGTTATAGTTGTGATTAAATACTTTCAGATTATTATTATTGAAAATTTTGAAGCATTAACTATATTTTAAATTATGATAAACTTTAATGAATATTGATATTTTACGCTAGAATAAATTAAATTTTTGTCGAAACAATTATTTAATTTGTAAAAATAATTAAATCGATTTATATATTTATATTTCAGCAAGATATTTGTGTACAATATGCAATACAAATAGTATATATAAAGAGAGGAATAACGCAATTCCAGATTATAAAAAAAGTATTATTTTTATATTTAATTAAAAATTCATCTATATTTTAATTTTTGTATAATTTAAAACTTCGTTGCCTAGATTAGGTGTAGTGGTAAATCATGAAACTAACGCATAAACTGCTGTTTGCAAAGAAAATTATATTAACCTAAATACATTAAAAATTGGAATTTTTTAATGGAAAACATTTTGTACAGTTTCATTACCTGTTTGTAATTAATATACTTAAAATATATTATATATAATACTATTATATTATTTATTTGAGGAATTTTTTATACATATAATATGAATGATTATAATATTGAATTTCTGAGAAAACAATTTCTATGTTGTGCTCCTTTAAATAACTTTAAATGGCCGGTAAGTTTTTAAGTAAAGAAAAATTATTTTTAAAATGTAAGTTTTTAATTAATATGAATTCTTAATGATATATTTATTAATGAATTTTATAATTGTAGGATTTGAAGAAGAATAACACAGATATACAAAAACAAATTATTAATGCAACTATAAATAATGAACTTGTTCTTAAATATCCAATAAAGCAATCTTATATAAAAGCTTTTTTAAAAATATTTATTAATAAAGTAAGTAAAATGTTATTAAGACAAATATAAATGAAATACACTATTTTAATTATTGTGCATATTTGTAGTTAGAACAAAACAATGTGGAAATTGATAATGATGTTTATAATGCATATTGCAAAAATGTTGTTTCTCCAGATGAACAGTCATTAATGCATTATCGACATTTTCTGTTAAATAATCAAAGTGAAAATAATCTTCTTAGCATAAAAGAAAGTACAAGTATTATATCACAAGGAACAACTGGGCTGTATATTTGGAAGGTAGTACATTTCTAACATAGGATAATTTCTAATGTAAAATATTTATTAAAATAATTAATTAATTATTGTATTATAATAGGCTGCTTTTTATTTAGCAGAGTGGTGTATTGCAAATAAACAAGAATTTGAAGGAAAAAATGTATTAGAACTTGGATCAGGTGTTGGTTTAACTGGTCTTACAATAATAAATTTTTGTGCACCAAAAATATATTATTTCTCTGATGAAAATCCAATCGTTTTAAAAACTTTACAAGAAAATGTTCGTTTAAATTTGCTACACAAACAGAAGACATTTTTATGGAAAGAAATTTTAGTAAATAATAGAATACAATTTGAATCAATTGGTAATGACAGAAATATTAAAGTTAATATAATAAATTTAAAGTGGGAAGAAATTTATAAATTATATGAAAAACAAATAGATTTAGATTTAGTCATTGCTGCAGACATATTGTATGATATAAGTACATTTCAATCATTGGTATCTGGTTTAAGAAATTTAATTTGCACGACTGTTAACTATGTCTTAATTGCTACTACAGTTCGAAATGAATCAACTATATTAGAATTTTTTAATATTTTAGGTAATTATTAATATTTGTTTATTTGCTTTAAATATACGATTTAAGTAAACCTTTAAATAGAATATTTAATTCGTATATTTATTTTATAGATAAATATGAACTTTCATATGTAGAAGAATCAATTTTTATACCGCACATGTTTATACAGTGTGAGGACACACCAATTAGAATATTAAAAATTTTAAATAAAAATAAATAATTATTAAATTATATTTCAAGTACTATTTTTATTAATATTCATTTTCTATATTATTTTAAATTTTTTATATAACATAAAAATATAAAATTATTGAATATTGACTTATAAAGTTATTTGATCAGTTTAGAAAATACATTTTTAATTTATTTAAAGAAAAGACCTTTTTAAAACCACTTTCTTAGATTATGGCGTTTGAGCTTTGCTTCAGTTTCATCTACATCTTTATCGGCATCTTTGTTGTTAGTTTTCTTCAATTTTTTCCCCTTAATCTTTCCTTTTTTTGATTTTGGTAAGCAGCGAGATGCATCAGTCAAATTAATATTCGATTTACTCTTAACTGCAATAACAAAAATATTCTGTTTAGTTTTGCATTAAAATTTTATCTACAAATTTAATTTTGTAGTTTACCAGCATATAAATCCATTTCTTTATGAATACTTCGATCCTCCTCGATTTCTCGTTTTCGATCCATCTCAAGACATTCGACAATTTCATTTCTTCTTTCAACTACTTCCACCAATCGCTGAATTAAAATTTCTTCCCGCTGCTTATCAAAGTCCGTTTTGGTAGCTTCTGGTTGCGTTAAAAGACACCTCACTTCATATTCAATATCAGCATGTTCCTCTTCCAACCTTTGTTGTCTTCTCAACAACATTAATTCTGTTTGCCTTCGAAAAAGCTCATTTTTTTCATTAACCAATGTAAATAATTCTAAAACAAGCTCTTCCAAATCTAATCCTAAATTAATATCTGTAAAAATGTGGGTTTTCATAAAAAAAATTTATTACTATTCGCTGTAATTGTAAAACTTTAAATATCAAACCCTCAAATAGCACCAAAAGTTTTAATTATATTTAAAAAATTTATCAGTAATATAAAGAATAATACAGAACTGTAATATCTGTATATTATATTAAATACGTGTATAAATATAAGTAAATATATATTAGTATTTTTTAAATTTTGATTATAAGTACGTGTAAAAATGAATGTATATTTTATTATACTTTTACGAAGTTTAGTTTAATATATCATATTAAAAATAAAACCAATTCAAAACAAATATTTTCATTTTTTCAAAACTTTAAGAACCATCACACGATCTTATGATTTCATGTAATAATTGTATAAAATGTGCTATTTAAAGGTTGGTCACATAATAAAACAAATAATCGCAATGCTAAATATTTATTTATATACTGATTGACAATATTAATCACTTTTACAAATTTCAAAATGCAAATTATGGTACAGCAGAGATAAACAACTACAAAAGAAGTATTTACCTTCACCACTCATAGAATTCGACTCGCATTTATCTCTAATAATTTGCTCTAATCGTACGCCCTGTTTCTCCAAGCCTTGCTGTTGCATTTCAATTTGATCAAGTTCCAATTTAATATCTTTCATCGACATAACCTTGATCTATAGTGGAAAAAAAAGTTCCAGAAAGGCAGTATAAGTTGATATATTTATAAGTTGGTTGTGATGGTAAATAAGTACGCTTAAAAGAGCTTCTTCTTGATCGACAAGAGAAAACTCACTTTTCTTCTTAGAGGCACAGGTCGAGGTGGTGCAGGGCCCTTCTTCCTCTTCCACTTGCCCTCGATGCTCTTGTCGGTGGGATATATTAAATAAGTTGAAGATTCGCTGCACAAATGATTTTGTGTATTTCGGTTTGCCTTGTCTTTGCTCAGCTTTTCTTCATTCCAGAGATGATGTTGTTTTACCACGTCGTTGTCCGAACATCTTGGATCCAATGATTCGTCAAGCAAATCACTCGTATTGTTTTTCCAATTTAATGTGCGCGTTGGTGTCGAGGCTGCTGTCGGAGGAAAAGGAGAAGGAGGAGCAGGAGCCAATTTACTTTTCCGCATCTTGAATGGAAGTTTAGGAGAAAGACTCTGTAGAATAATAAAGAGAGGCAGAGATATATAAAGGATAAATATTTTCTACAGTTAATTGAAACTTACAAGATCCGAATTTATAGTGATGTTAATAGATTTACTTGACGTGTTGTAACTTTGATGCTGAATTGGCGGTGGTAATGGAGCAGGTTTTTTTCTTCTGTATGTACCACCTGGAGTTGAACAAGAACTTGCTATCGACGTGTTGGATGAGTCTATACCAATACTTGTGAGATTTAATTTAGAATACAGTAATGGATCTTCATCTACATCTGAATACCTGTAAATACAAGATAACGTTATAAGTATGCGTAGGTTGTGCATATCTAGTGAATTATTTAAGGATTGAATCATATAATTTACATGGACATTGTATCTATAAAAAACTGTCATCAGTTTACAAAAGTTCATGAGATGTAAAGTTCTTGAAGAAAATTCTTGTAAATGCGTAAATTTCATTTCTTAAATAGAGTCTATTTACATGAGATGTATTCATTTGGCATCCATAATTAAATTCAAATCATTCAAAGGGTTTGTTTTGACAATTCATTCTTGATTGCAGCAAAAAGGAAACGAATTAAAATAGAAGAAAAGTGGAATTTGGATAAAACCAGTACTTCTACAATAGATACATAAATTCATTTATTCAAAATAAATAAATTAAGAGAAAAACAACGTATTGGCTGAAAAATCACAAATTTATTGTACATCAAATTAGCTATACGTTGCTAATTCATAATACGTCTTAAGAGCTTTCGTCTGTTAGTATGTTATATTATTAAAAAGTATTTAAATAAACAGAATTGAATTATTGATATTGAAATAATGTCAAATTGTAAAAATGTAATATTTTGAACAACTGAATTATTAGAAAAAAGCTGTTCGCATTTCATTATTCAATTATTAGAGGATAGGGACCTGAGAGTCCTTGGTTTGGGCACTGGAGGCGACTTGCTTTTGGTCTCTAATTCGCTGTCAGGGCTGCTTTCTCGATCATCATCGCTCCAAAAAGGATTGAGGTTAATTTTGGGTGCCTCGAGCAATCGTTTAATTGGAATCTCGGTGGCTTTATGAGACCTTAATCTCAAAACAAGTTTTGAGGGCTGGTCTGTTTCGTCCGGGATTACTTCTTCGTCCGTACAGTCGAAAGGGTTCATTGAGCATTTTTCTTCCTGAAGTTTAAGTTTTGAAGATACCTCGGTCCTTTTATCATTAGATGCAAATGGATTTAAATTCTCAGGGTAATCATTGTTAGAAATTGACCGAGTTTTCTGAACGTAATGATTTTCTACTTGGGATAGAGGCTCGGACTCCATTTCGCACTCCGTGTTCAATATCGGTGCTTCTTCAAAGAGTCTTAGTGGGCGTTGAACGAACCTCGATTCTTTAATTATATGCTCATAAGCGCTTAAACTATCGCTCTTTTTGAGCGCCGGCATGGCTCGCTTCTTGAGCGTCTCCAGATCTTCATTGTTGTTTGTTCTTCTACATTCTAATACGTTAGACGCGTTATTAACACGCGAATCACGTTTCTGCATCGCATCTGGGGATGTCGCTTGTTCCTCACACTCGCTCGTAAGTTCGTCTATTTTGTCATTAATCATTCTAATCATTTCATCGAATTTGTTATCGTTGTCATCGTCTTCTTTCACTTGTTGCTGCTCGCGTTCGAAAACACAGCTCTTGTTCTTCTCCTCATCGCTGAGTGCTTCAAGGAGTATCACCGTAGATACTTCATCACCAGGACAGGCCTCACAGCGATATTGACCGTTCTCCGTTTCATAGTAGTTACCTGGAGTGAGTTGCTGGTGACAACGTATACATCGAAAGCAGTTACGGTGGTAGGCATTTCGAGCAATCATAAGTTTCT